TGGCAAGGACGCGCCTTCCACACGTGGCATCCAACTCAGCGAAAACACGGATAAAGCGCGTCCCCGGGGACGCGCTTTGCCAACTCAACAGAAAGGGTGCTACTTTTGGAAATATTGGTCAAACGGTGTCAGAAAGAAAAAATTAAAAAAAATGTGTCAGTTATGTAATTTAGCCTGAAAACTCTGAGTTTTGTCATCCAACAAAAAAGAATACGGTGTGACATCACATAAATTACTTCATTATTTCAATAAAGGTATATAAAAGTAATACTAAGTCCACTAAAGAGGTGAAAAATGAATATATTATATATATTACATGATTTAGATTAATGAATCATGATCGGATATTGATACCAAACAAAAAAATATTAGATATCGATGTCACATAAAAACTATCAAATATCGATATATTTTGGAAGTATGTTTGTATAAAAAAAATTACAAAATAAAATTATAAATAAAATTTTGTACCTTTATATTGATCGTCGAGGACCAGTAAGATTTTGCAAACCCTAAAAGAAGGTGATATGATAAATATGGTTAGCTGAGAGCTTTAGGATTTATTGATTGAGGGAAGAAGAGTGGAGTGGAGGCGCAAGTGGCGTTTGTGGACCATGAAGAGTGGCTTGAGACTATTAGCTTTTATGTGGTCCAACCGTGAAGAAACCAAAGCCTAATTTTGAGGGATTGGGGTAAGGGAACAATTTCTGAGAAAGGGATGAAAGGCAGCATGCCATTAATGACAAACTCATCCAAGTTTAGCCATTGTATCATTAACATCAAAACCCTTACAATTTTCAACATTCCAATAAAGCAAATAAAACACGATAAAATTATCATCGGATCTTGTCGATTGATATTTCAACACATCAACCTTCACAAACATTTGATTCAAAAGCCTTGCAATATAAATAAAAAATAATATCAACGGGATTAGTTCAAGTGGTAAGCAATTTGATATCATTTAAGCATGTCTCGAGTTTAAAGTATTGTGCATGCAAAAAATCTCCGTCAAGAGATTCACACATCAAAATCAAGTTTGTAACGCATGTCGGTCCGGATTAATTATACGAAACCTTAAAATTAGGAGAGCAATAAAAAATAATAATGATAAAAAGTGTCTTGTTAAGTAGAAAACAACTATTTGTCCATATTAATAATTATCGTCAGTGACTAATTTGAGTAAATTTGTAAAAACAATTATCGTTGAGCATTTACCTTGTAAGAACCATTTTTTTTATCCTGAACCCAAATTCCTCCAACTCCCAAATTAGATACCCATTGTGCTTTTAACATTGCACGATGGTTTGGATGACAAGTGCAGCTTCACAATTGCACCAAGTCTTCTACACCGAACAATTAAGCCTTTAATGATTATGGGATAAATCCAATCATATCGGTTCGGTGGGGAAAAGACAATAGCCCTTTGTCACGCGTAACGGACTTTGACACTTCCTCTTTCTTTTCTTGATCCAATAACAAAACGAATGGAATTGTACATTCTTTCAGTGTTTTTAAAAATCATTGTGTGTTATTCCAGTAATACAAATTTTGTTATTTGAATTTCATGAACAGAATAAATAATACTGTGAGAGTTTTATATCCCTATTAAAAATTTAATTTAATTCTAGATATAATTCAATTTTAAGATAAATTATTTCATAGGTCAATATCAATTTTATTTGAATCATTGAACAAAATAATTATAAAATACATCATTAAATTTTGAATTTGATTTCTATTAAATCACTTACCATTAATGGATCATAGAAATTGATGTGGCCATTGATTAAATTACAAATAATTTAGTAAATTTATTTATCCAATTAAGTTATTTATTGACACGTATAATATAATTCAGAATAAAATTACTTGAATGATTGAGAAATTCAGATTCCAACACTCAAATGGTTTCGTTTTCAATACTACCCAAATTCTCTCATCAAATTGGAATCTCACAAATATTCCTATCATCGTTATAATATTTCGCTATTTATTACCTTATAATTTTAATATAATATTTACTCAATCCAAATCACATATAAAGAATATATCATTCATTATTATTAAAATATTTATTTAAATTCTTAAATAATGTCTGAAAATAAAAGAATTCTTAAATAGTATCATTTTTATTCTTTAGCATGTTTCAAATTAATTCGTAGACACAATACAAGGGGCCCTTTACCATAACCTGGAAATTTGACAAATTCACATTACTCGAAACAACGCAGCAGTCTTTCTTTTTAAACGTGTGGGGTCCACGTAACTGTGATCAGACTCTACTCGTGGCGGCACCCTATTCGTTAATATTGAAAGAGCTGCCGATTGCACGTTTGGGTTGCTATGGAACCATCAATCGTATCGGATGCTCCACGGTACTTAGGCCGTGGCTCTCATGATTGGTCCACTTTCTGTGAGTTTGGAGCTCGACACGTATTCCTTAAACAACCTTTCACTCAAGTGTCTGGATACTTTTGAAGGTGAACTTCTTCTAGCAATTTTTATAATATATGTAGATTGTGGATTTAAATATTATATTTTTATTTACTTATTATTAAAATGGATGTACTTTTTTAGGATAAAATTTACTTAAGAAATTGTGTAAGCCACTCCCTTCCTGTTCTTTTTATCCACCTCTCGAGTGTTTCCTAGTTTCATAGTTACCATCTACTGATGAACTCACCGGCGGCTGACAGGGAAGTTAAAATCCACGGTGGTCCCCACTCCCGCTACTAGTGATCCCTGATACGCTTGAACCCGGGAACGTGCTTCAACCTGGGGACCATTTGTGGTCCAAATTCTCGACGAGCGTCCTCCAAGTCGTTGTTCCGCCAGTGGCGGAGAGAGGGTCGACGTGATTTATGGTGTCCCCCCACTCTGTTTATCCAAATAAGCTTCACTTACGTAACTCATTAAACACCAAATAAATTCTGAATTTTCAATTCCACTACAAGACATGGAATTTTCTTCCTTAATGTCAGCTTCTTATATTCGCCACGCAACACTGAGCGACAAGGAAAACACGCGCACAGCCTGAAGATTCAGGCTTACGGTTGCTCACCACACAATATAACAAATGTGTGTTTCTAGATACGATGATGTACTCTGTTGTTGTAAGCACTTTTACGAACATGGTAAGCAGCGCATTACGCGTATGAGTTTTTCACTTGCAGTACGCAGAAGGGGGAAAATGAAATCCGATAACTAACCAGCGAGGCTTCTGATTCAAATGTTTATTCCAGACATTTTTCAGGTAGTTTCGTTAGTAAACCTTTTTAGAATTTAGTCTAGTGAGGTCTGGTTGAGATAAATTTTCCTCAAATGAAATGAAATCTGGATAAGAATTTAGTATACATTTTCATTTCTTTCAGATTTGATTAGCAGCTACTGTTGATTTCTGTTTGTTATACAAACAAGGCATTCATTGGAAAAGATTCCATCGTATGTGAACATGGTTTTAGAACTCTGTTTCAATAACAATAATTTCATTAACTAATAAACAAATGTTCATAATAACTCTCCCCACCAATTCTTTATAATTCCTATTCAGATGTCGTATCCCTTCTATTAATCGTCAATTTAAGAAAGTTTAATACATTAATTCTATTAATTCAATAAGAAGTGATTTGATAATTATACATATTTATATTTTGCATGCCCTTTCGATTTTTTTATAATTTTATCTTGATTAATCTGAACTGCACACCTAACTTTTGTGGATCAATTTTCCAACTAATATCTTTTACATACATAAAATTTTAAACTCTAAACATATTTAAACATCATCTTCCCTCAATAAGAGTTTGGACGAAAATAGTCATATTCTAACGAGAATATGGCAAAAGTCAAATATTTCTCTATCTCTCTATGCATAGGGAAAAGGAAGTTATAAATTGTTTGAAAAAAGAACAAATAAGTATTCAAAAAGAATTGTCTAACATTTTCAAAAGAACAATATTCTCATTTTAAGAGTAAGATGCGAATAGTATTTCAAAAAACAATTCTCTTTCTTTGCGTGTAAAAAATGGTTAATTTATTAATTTTTACAATAATTCTAAATTAAATAAACTAACCTTGTAATTATAATAGAAAATATTTTGTCAAGTAAATTTTAAGTGTATTGATAAAGCATTTTATACTTTTTAAGAAGATGTAAATTCAAATCTTAAATACAATATTGATAGAATGAATAATCTCAAAAACTATTAAGAGAGGCCATCTTAATTTTCCAATTTAAACTATAAAACACACCTAAAAAAACAATAAATGTTATTTAGTATATATAGTACTAAAAGAAACAACTACAACTAACGATTGAAGTCATATTTTTTTTAAAAATTATCTACAAATATTAAGCCATTGAATTAAAAAAATTAAATTATTATTTTATTTAAATAATAAATAATAATTTTAAACAAAATTATTAAAATTCATTATTCTACTGCCTAAATCATGTTTAATGAAATTATACAATAATATTTAGACTCCGACTATAATAATTATTAAATAAAATTTTAAAAGATATATATTTTTAGAGTAAATCTTTGGATATTATCAAAATTAATTGAAAATGGAAATGGTCCCCTCCCCTCCCCTCCCCTCCCCAGCCGACTCCCTTCCTTCCTCCCTCCCATATTAAAAATCTTCCTCTACCACTATATTCATAAACAGATATTTTCACCTAAAACAAACTGCTATTAGTTTCTCTGTCTATCGCTTTGTCTCAGACTCTATCATTACCACGTTTCTTACACCAACTTAAACCCTCACACATTTCTTAACCCTTTATATCCCTCACCTTAATCCTCTCTGGCAATGCAAAAATTTTATCTTTAACTCAACTGCCTCCTACTTTTAAATCAAAATCCCTTGCTTTCCATCGTCTGCTTCCCTTTCTCTCAGTCAAACCATGACCTCATAATCATCGTCGTCTTCACCGTAATCTTTCTTTCAAAGTTCAAACACTTCATAGAAAAACACAAGGTCAAAAGTGTTACATGGCGTTGCAACCCAACCATCTTTCTCAAGACCTTCGTCTTCGGCACTTTGCCGACCAACAACAACAAATGAACCAACTAACGGATACCTCAGCTCCTAATTGGTTAAATACCGCTCTCCTCCGGCCACCTCAACCCCAGGCTCATTTCTCAGACCCTAACTTCCTTAACCTTCATACTACTACAAATGCGTCAGAGTCAACATCGGCTTCCCGAGCTCCCAACCAGTGGCTCTCCCATTCATCATCTTCGCTTCTTCCACATAACCACGGTGATGCCATCGATGACATGGAAGCGGTGGCGACAGTAGGAGGAGTTGATAGGGAATCCATGGTCGCCGTGGAATCCGGAGAATTGAAGAGAAGCAACAGCGAGTTGAATAATAACAATAAGAGCCAAGGTGTTGCAGTGGAAAGCGGAGGAGGAGATGTGGCTGTAAATTGGCAGAATGCAAGGTACAAGGCGGAGATACTTGCCCACCCTTTGTACGAGCAGCTATTTTCTGCACACGTGGCGTGTCTGAGGATCGCCACGCCGGTGGATCAACTTCCGAGGATCGACGCTCAGCTGGCTCAGTCACAGCAAGTGGTGGCTAAGCACTCGGCTCTGGATGGTGGGGCCCAAGGCTCGGTCGGTGATGAGAAAGAGCTTGATCAATTCATGGTATGCGCATTTAGTACCAGTACAATCGCAAACTGTTATCCTGTTATTGTTTCTTTCCGCTACTGCTACTAGTTTTGATTTTCTTGTGAAAAATATCCATGCCAATTCGGTAATTTAACTGCATGCCTGGAGAAATGAGAAAAAGTAACTGCTTCTCTGATTGATTCCTAGCTATTTAAGGCTATCTGAAATTCCAGTACCTAAGCTTTTTCAAACATTTTGCTGTAACTATGTTCATGCAACAATTATTTAGATGTACGATTTTGTTCTTTCTAAAAGAAATTTAGACAAGGGTCATTCTTGGTTATTATAATTACGGCTTTAGAATGACTATTCTGTTTAGCAACTGCATCACACAAGTTTTTTTTATTAATAATTGCAGAGAGGAAATTACGTTAATTGAAACATTGGTGTCGATTTCTTAGAATTTTTATATTTTATTGCATCATTTGCATTTTGTAGTTGTGATATAGAAAAATTGAACTTGTTAATTTTGCTTGATAATGTAGATGCATTATGTTCTGTTGCTATGTTCATTTAAAGAGCAATTGCAACAACATGTTCGGGTCCATGCAATGGAAGCGGTCATGGCTTGCTGGGAAATTGAGCAATCCTTACAGAGCTTAACAGGTACGGTCTACATATCTAGCAGATGATGTGTTGGGAAATTTCCCTAGTTTCTTGAATACTGAAAGCTCCTTTATGATATAAACCAATCATTGATTTTCAGTTTACCAATAATTTGCATAATGATCCAATGCTTTTGGTGCATGAACAGGAGTATCTCTAGGGGAAGGTACAGGAGCAACAATGTCGGATGATGACGAAGACCAAGTAGAGAGTGAAGCCAACTTGTTTGATGGCAGCTTGGATGGTCCAGATTCAATGGGATTCGGGCCTCTGGTCCCAACAGAGAGTGAAAGGTCTTTGATGGAGCGTGTGAGGCAAGAACTCAAACATGAACTCAAACAGGTAAACAATCCATGAAATACATTGTTTTTGTAGAGAATTATGGTTACAAACTTGATAGAATCATTTAACAGGGTTACAAGGAGAAGATTGTGGACATTAGGGAAGAAATCTTGCGCAAGAGAAGGGCGGGAAAACTTCCTGGTGACACTACTTCAGTTTTAAAAGCATGGTGGCAATCGCATTCCAAGTGGCCATACCCGACTGTAAGTTCATGAATAAATTTCATTCAACAAGGCACTCTGAACCCGGAACTTAGCTCATGTTCATATATCCACGTTCTTGAGTGGTCTGGGGTTCGAATCTCAGCACGTGCAACTGTTCCTAATTATCTTGCCTAACAAATTTGCAGGAGGAAGATAAGGAAAGGTTGGTTCAGGAAACAGGTTTACAATTAAAGCAAATAAACAATTGGTTCATCAATCAGAGGAAGAGGAACTGGCATAGCAATCCATCCACTTCAACCGTCTCCAAGAACAAACGGAAAAAGTAAGGTGAATAACGCATGTCTTCTTCGTAATATAAGCATGGATGACAACTTTTAAAGGAACCTGAACACGAAATTAAGTAATGCAGTTTAGAATCTATATTTACTGTTAATTTATAAAGTAAATTCCTTTGGCAGACGGGCAGATAGTGATTTTTTGTTCCTTTTGTTTCTTCGTATATGTGAATAAGGATTGTAAGATGGTGTGAGTATACAGCTTGAAGATCTGAAAATAAAATAATTTATTGCTAGAAGACTACTTAATTAGTAATAACCCTTGCTTTATATTATAAAACCTCTAATTATGGAGCCCCTTCTCAAAACATCCTTTGACAAGATCTTTCTGTTGTACAATGAAAATCGTAACCTATTCTTCAATCTTGTCATGCTTTTGGGTATTTTCTTAATGTATAAACGACTTTAATGAAGCCCGGCCAAATGAAAACAGCAATCAGATGTTTGGGCCTTAAACGAGTTCCAAAAGTTTGCCCAAAAATACAGCCCCCCTGAAATAAACTGTTATCCTTTCAGTACTTGAATCTACGGTACCGATCAACAATTAGGCCGGCAATCGGTCAAATTTTTATTATAATCATTACTACTTGACATTACATTTTATATTTTTTATATTTCACTTTTTATTATATGTGTTCAGAGTTTGTAGGTATATCTTTAAAATATAATTTTTTTTTTTAAATTAGAAATGAAATGGTTCTTATCATTAAATTTAGAATAGTTTTAAGAACATGCATGAAAGCCGGGAGAAGCGGCAATTGTGGTGTCTGGCCATTCGGGTGGCCACTCGCCGTGGACAAACTCAAAGGCTAGTCCTTTTCCTTAGGCAGCAAGCTCTTCCTCGTTCTTACGCGGTTATTGAGTCCAGTCCAATTTCGTCATGCAAAGCAGTCACCTTACGTTTGAGATGAAATCATTATGCAGCTATACAGCATTACCATCTTTTGTTTTCATTCAAGATTAATAATTAATATGAGCTTATAATTACATCGAATTATTATTATTATTATTAAATATTTTAGAAGCCGTGTAAAAAATATTTTCTCTTGATATTTTCAGAGATTAAACTAATAAATTTTGATAACTCAAAGCAACAAAAATAGTATAATTTTATTTAATATATTTTTATCCAATCCGAATCTGACCCAAAAAATATTATCCTTTATCTGAATCCGATTCGATTCGAATTTTTAGAATATAAATATAATCAGATTTGATATGATATAAAACAAAGATTTAATTAAAAAATGTACTATAAGAATTTTATTTTACCCTCCTCTTAAATCTAATCCGACCACACTCATTTATAAAATTCAACCCAAACTTATTTTCTTTCTAAAAAAATCTAACCCAATTAAATTATATCAGGTCCAAATCCTAATATTTCAGATTAAATTGTCATTCTAAGTAGGAAACGGTAAATCTGTAAAAATGTCTGCTATTGTTATTAGTGATTGTGAAATATCGAAGGCCTTTTCATCTCTCCTGCTCTTCCCCGACAACATCTCTGTTTACTACTTTCTACTTCACTCCTTAATCCTTCCCTCTCTTTAATTTTTTGTCATTTTCTTCTGTATCTTTTCGTTATTAATTTCTACCATCTGTTTTCGAGTAACAATGGTGACGGATTTATCTCCGAATTCACTGCCATTTTCTCTTGTGATGATCCCATTTCTCTTCCACTCAACTTTCTCAACTTTCTCACATGGTGTTTCTGTTCCCTCTCCCACTCCCCTCGTACAACTCACTTCAGGTACTTCACTTGTTCTCTTCTGTCTTTTTCTGCTTCATTCTTGTCTGGTTTCTAAGGGGAATAAACTTACTACAAACAATATATGCATGACGTTATTAAGCAACGGGTTTGAAAATAGAGTAGATGTGACTGTTATTTTGTTACTTATTTTAGCGTTCATTTTCAGTGAAAGCAAATGGAAGTGAGACAAAGAGTGCGGCGGAGTTTTCATGGGAGAATACTCGGAACCGGAGGTCAGCGGTGGAGGTGCCGATTGGTGAACCTCTGCCGCCATTGGAAGTCACTACTACTTCATCCCTTGTTTGGCTGCTCAGAGGACGTACAGAAAAGATCCACTTAATGGGTTCAAGAGATACACATGAGGGTATAGTATTAGGGAGCGCCATTATTGGGCTGTAAATTTTCCGGAACCAGAGAGTCAAGATGAACCATTTTGATGATTGGATTTTTCAACTTTTCTCTTTCTCGGACACGATGACGCTTCATGCCAGTTATTTTCCACTTGCCTACACATGATTACTATTGGACTTGTTGAGTTTGTAATCTGTTTTTTCTTTTATTGATTAGTTAGAAACGGTTTTGAGTTAGTTAAGTGGTTAGATTGAATAGCTGTGTATATATATGCACTGATTGTAAACTTATGGGAGTGTGGAAATAAAACAATTCTTTCATTTCTCTCATATTACAAGTTTAACATGGTATTAGGCTAGTCCGTTTCTTCTGGGTCTGTTTTCTACTTAGGCTCGTTTTTTTCCCTTTCCATCTTATTCCACGTCTCTACAACATCGCCGCCTTCACACTTCCACAGCCTCGTCGCTTTCATGATGCCTTCAACGACGGTTCCTGTAGACACCCGTTTTTGTCCGGGTCTTTTATATTTATTTATTTATTATTATTATTATTAATTATTATTAACTATTATTATTATTATTATTTTTAATTTTACATATTACACTTTTGCAGGCTTTGAAGCCCAATTCAGATTACAAAGGCTCAATCCCGGAGCCCAACATTCAACAGACCCCTCAGCCACACCAACCCAGACCTGCGGCCCAGCAATCGACCCAAACCCGCTAGGGTTACCCCTTCTCTGCCTCAGCGCCGCACCATCAAGACCGTCTGATCTGGACCCATCCAATGGTCCAGATCAAAGGCCATTTAGGTCTGAAACCCTAACCCTTGTTCTGAGCCCTAACAGCTCAGCCGCCACAACCGTTTGGCCTTTCATCTCCCAGCCGTGCTTGAGGTGTCGATGGTGAATCCCGAGCCGGTCGTCATCAGCAATCTGGTCACACAGTGAAGCAAATGTCATCAACAGTGTATCAAACTTACCCCAAACCTAAAAACCCATTAAAATAACACCCAAAAATCCCGAAAATCTGGACTTTATTCACCCAAATCAGAGAAATCAAATCCTATCTACCTAATTCATCATCATCTCACCAAATCCACATGCAAGCAAACATAAAAGAACCAAAGAAGAAAATAGGGGGATTCGGGGGGGATAACCAGAAAAAAAAAGAGAGAGTGCTAAAAAAAAAACAAAGTGAGGGAGATCTTACCCTTGTAGAAAACCTCGTCGTTGTAGCCTAGCCAGAATAGAGAAGGCCGTATTGAAGGTAAACTTTCCCTTATTTTGGATCTAGGGTTTTCGAATAGGGGTTTCGGTTTTTGCTTGGGATAGGAAGGGTTAGTGTTCAAAGGAAGAGAGAAGGGTTGGTCATGGGTTGATTTCTCAAGCCATCGCCGCTGGCTGCGGCGGTCGTGGTTCCTCTGCTTTCTCTCCACGACGGAGACAAAGGCAGAGAAGGAGAGAACATTGAGAGCTTCTTCTGTTCTATTTTTAAGAGAGTGTACATTTTATTTTAGTCACTAGTTAGCCTATGGTTTAGTTACCTTGTAAGGGTCCCCGTGTTTTGTAAGTTTGTTTAAGGGCTTAGTGTATTTATTTATTTGTACTTCAAGCCCTATATTTTTAAAGTTTACACATTGGTCACTGGACTGGTTATTGTTAATATTTTTGAAAGTTTAGACATTGTACTCTTTATTTATGAAACTTTTATTTTGATCACTACTCTCATATTTTGGGTTAAATATCGATTAATGTCTGGTTATTTTACTTTCATTATATTTTAGTCATTATCTGGTTTATTATTACATTTTTATTAGAGTTCGAATTTGGCCATATTATGTTTATGTATTTCTATTTTAGTCCTATTAATGTATGTTTCATTTTAGTCTTTGATTTTATTTTATATGTTATTTTTTTTTGTTAATGTTCGAATTTATCCCTGACATTTGTGAATTTTATTTTATTCATTTATGTATGATTTATTGTATTTGTTATTCGATTATTTGTATTATGTAAATATTTTATTTTATATTTCCAATTACATTTATTTTCATTATATTTTTATCTATGTAAGAAATATTCGATTATATTTTCAAGAACATGTATGCGTAGAATGGGCGTGGAAAGTACCACTTGGTCGAAGTGGTACGATCCGATACGGCATTTTAACGACATAGGGTCTTGCAACAAGTCGAGTATATTTTACTAATTAATTTATTAAAATGATGTAATGTGTGGTACCTTAAGTGACGCTCACTTTATTTTATGTGAATGTAAATTTTAAATTTTCATTTTATATTCGATACACGTTTTTTAAATAAATGATGAGAGAATATTCTTTAAAAGATAAGAAATAGACGAGTTAACTTTCCCGACGGAGGATTGTTAATCTCGAGATTTCTTTTCAAATTAAAGAATTTTCTCTGATAAAATAATTCGAAGTAAATTAATTAAATCTCAATAAACGAATCATATTTTAGTTTTATATTCAATTTGTAATTTCCACCATTTACGACGATGTGTAAGCTACACAGTACCAATTTTGGGCGTTGTAGGGGTGTTTACCCTTCCCCACACGTAACCGACTCCCGAACCTGTTTTAAATGAATCTTTGATAACGTAGACCAAATTTTTGTCTTATAAAACTATTTTTCTTAAAATTGTTTTTAAAAGACGTTTTTAGGTATTTGACCTACCTAACCCAAAGGTCGATGGCGACTCCCTTTTCCATTTTATTTCAATCAATCCAAAATCACCCAATGTTCCAAAATAAAAGTCATAATTATTTTTTAAAATAATATTTAATAGTTTTATAAAAAAATGGTTATGACAGCTTGGCGACTCCGCTGGGGATGACTAGAGAGTCAGGCTGTCGGTCGCTTATATATGGTCGTTATGGTGGAAATTATAAGTTCGAATCTTTAGTAAAACTATGATCTATGTATTGAATTTTTATTTATTATTTTATCTCTTTATTTTTATATACTAACATTTTAATTGTTTTCATTTTTTTCATATATTTCTTAGTTCTCGTTGAGTGTTATTTTTTTTATTATATTTTTTCCCTGTTTTGAGTCAAAGGTTTGTTTGTTTCTCCTCACACACATCACTTTCATTGGCATAACATGAGCTCTAGACATGAGCTTCGATCCAAATTAGTTAGGGTGATTGCTTTACTCTCGTAAGAATTTATTCTTCGTATGAGTTTTAGCAAATAACCCATGGGATACATACCTTATACCTTCGTAGGAATTTATTCTTCGTATGGGTATAAGGCAGTGAATCCCCTTGAATTGAACTCGTTCCGTTTGAAACCTGTAATGGGTGAGGATTGAGGGTTTGGTAGCCCAAGGGGGCACCGACATCAAGGACAATTCTAGTTCATTTTTCCTGATAAGAGCCGAAACCATGCACATAATGAACCATAGAACGGTCACACTAGGTAGAGTCATGCCGAACCTCTGTCCGTCAATAGGTACCCAAAATAGGCGTACACAATGGAGAAACCTACTCTAACATTTTATTTATTTATTTATTTATTTTTGGTAGAATTTATGTGCAGTTAGAATTTAATTAAATAAATTTAGGAGGGTAGAGAGCATGTTTGGGTAGGACCCTTTTTGAGGAATATTATTTGGGTAGATAATACATAAATGGAGGAGATTTATTTCCCGTTTTACATATCTTTTTATGCTAAATTTATACAATTATTTTGACTAAATGTTTTGTTTGTTTTGTTTGTTTTTTTATTCATACTGCATAGACATATCATTAGAAAAGGCGATTGATCTGTGAGTATCGATAAAGTGGAAAGACTTTCACGATGGAAAGGAGTTTCCTAAACAAAGAGGTGAATCCAGCCGATGTAAGGAATTGGTCCGAAGCCAAGCAGAAAGAGCAGGGAGATAGTCTATCAGGGGACTACGTGTCGGATCTGTCGATTATACACCAGCTTCTTTAAAACAGAATGAGCTTCAGGGATTGAAAACAATTTGGGAAAGTTGGAATCTTATTGAGAGGCAAACTTTTCAGCAGACTTATGGGGATATATTTCATCTGATATACGTGAAGGTAGACCCGGTTCTCATACGAAGCATAATACAGTTTTGGAATCCTGCCTATAGTTGTTTCACATTTAACCGAGAGGACATGACTCCAACCCTCTAGGAATACCACTTTCTGTTGAATTTGTCAAGCGTTAAAATAGACAAAGTTTACTCCCGATCGATAAAAGGGCCTTCTCTTAAGTCAAAGCTTGCAAAGATCTCGGGCACGAGCGACAAATGGGTAATTGATCGCTTGCAACGAAAGGGAGAAAGTGAGGGAGTGCCGTGGTCTCACTTACAAAAGATAGCTGAAGCACACGTAGATGAAAACGTGCGTAGAGATGTATTTGCTTTGGGTATATATGGTTTGGTAATCTTTCCAAAATGTTGGGGCTGATCGAGCTAGCAGTAGTCGATTTGGTTGAGAAGTTAGGAAGAGAGGTGAATCCAGTCCATGCAATTCTTGCTGAAACTTTCCGATCTTTGAATATATGTAGAAGGTTGGGGGGAGGTCGTTTTATGGGTTGTGCTCAATTGCTTACTGTGTGGATCAAAAGCCATTTCTGGAAGGAAGAAAAAGTCAACTATAATCATTTTTTGAAAGATTATTCTCCTGTTGCTGAGTACCTTACGAAGGAGTGGCCTGAAGTATCTCAGAAAGATCAATGGATTGATTTCTTCCAGAATCTACAAAGTCAAAACATAGCATGGCGAACACCGTGGCTGATGCATACACAAATCTTGTTCAAGTGTGGAGATTTGGACTGGATTATATTACTGGGACTGTGGGGAGGAGTGGGATACGCTCCTTTGTTGATATTGAGACAGTACGGTGCCCGACAGTTTGTTCCCGTGACTCATGGGTTGACTGGTGCTGAATTTGATTATAAAGAAGGCAATTATAGAAAGAAAATCAAAGATGTGGCTGATTCTTGGAGGATGACTTTTAGGACTAAAGTAATTGGAGCGGATGTTATCTTGACGCCTGATTATGAAGCCTG